AGGAAGGAAGGAAGGAGACTAAGGCAAGGAAGGAAAGAGATTAAGAGAAGGAAGGAGACTAAGGCAAGGAAGGAATAGGAAGGAAGGAAGGAAGGAAGGAAGGAAGGAAGGAAGGAAGGAAGAAAGGAAGGAAGGAAGGAAGGAAGGAAGGAAGGAGACTAAGGCAAGGAAGGAAAGAGATTAAGAGAAGGAAGGAGACTAAGGCAAGGAAGGAATAGGAAGGAAGGAAGGAAGGAAGGAAGGAATAGAAAGGAAGGAAGGAAGGAAGGAAGGAAGGAAGGAGACTAAGGCAAGGAAGGAAAGAGATTAAGAGAAGGAAGGAGACTAAGGCAAGGAAGGAAAAGGAAGGAAGGAAGGAAGGAAGGAAGGAAGGAAGGAAGGAAGGAGATCAAGAGAAGGAAGGAGACTAAGAGAAGGAAGAGGGAGATGGGAGGTAGAAGAGTTGGGGGATGGACGGGAAGAGGGAGCGACAATGTACCTGCATCAGATTAAACCTTGCCACTTCGTTGATGGGCGCATCCGAAATAATCCCGTACTGTTCCGGGTTGACCACCGCGGGGCAGATGAAGCAGGCCAAGAGGAGGTCGGTGCACATAGCCCGGACTTCGCCCACCTCCAGCCGCTCCACGCAGGAGAGCGTCTTGTACATCTGGGACATGATCCACCTCAAGCTGTGCGGGAAGCAGTAGGTGTTCTGCTTGAGGTAGCCAATGAAGGTGTTGACCAGGGCCACCAGCTTGGCCTCGTTGGACTCAACCATCTCCTGGACCTTCTGCCGGAACCTCTCTGACCCCTTCTCCCCAAAGAGCTTCTCCTGCTGGGCAGGCGTGAAGCGCTCAATGAGCTTGTTGGGGTCTGTCTCCAGGTGGTCCTCGTCCTCCACCAGGAGCTGCATGATGGGCTCGTGCAAGGTGGCCGTCAGGAAGAGCTTGGCGGAGAAGAGGCCCTCGGAGAAGAGCTTGAAGAAGATGCTGAAGGCGCAGGTGCCTTTCCGGAGCAGCCGCCGCGGGTTCTCGCTCTCCTTCAGCTCGAACTCGATCAGGTAGCGCAGGACCTGGAGGAGCAAGCTCTCGTCCTCGGCCATGATGCAGTTGCCGTAGATGGAGGTGAAGACGGTGTGGATGACATTCTGGATATTCTCCTGTGCCAGCTTCTCCCCGGCCACCAGGCAGGAGGCGATAAGGCGGGGGTTCTCGCGCAACCGGTGAAGGAACTCGCCATAGGCCGTCTCTTGGAAGCCCAGCTGCTTGTAGCCGTCCACAAACTGCGTGTCCTCCAGCACTTTGGCGTGCTGGCAACACTCGGCCGGTGAGGCATCAGCACTGTAACAAGAGGAAGGGGGGATTTCCTTACGGAAGTCCTAGGCACGGAGGAGGCAGGCCCTCTTTTCCTTTGGGTCTTTGGCCTGCCACACTTTCTATTATCCTACTATGCATTTTCTATGGTGGGAAAATGGGATTGTACGGAGTTAGATGATATGTAGCAATAGCAATAGCAATAGCAA